TGCACATAAAATGTTTCACAATTTTGGTGTAACATGCTGCGCGCGCACCCTGCGCACCCTGAATTTCCAACACTGGTCATATGTTAAGTCAAGTTTAAACAAGATTATTATTACTAAATTAGGTTTTTAACCCCTTTATGCTGTCAGCCCTGGTTTAGATGACTCGAGTTGTACACAGCATAGATAAAAATCTGAAAATCATGCACGCAACATTTCAATTTTTTTATCAAGTTCGTTTATTTTATTACTTGTCTAATTTTTTTTCTTTCGTCAGGACTGATTATATCGACAAGAGGATTGATTTCACAGCTTATTTTCATCAAAATCCAATTATATTGACATACTTAACAATCATATATAATATAATGTATATCTTGATATACAAGGACCAAAATTTTTTTCGGCTTACACTTTTATTCATTTTATTAAAGATCAATGATAGTTATTTATTTATTATTACTTGAATTATCTATACAATAGAAAGAATGTTGGTGATAGTGTATTAGTGGATAAAATAGTATTTATATGTTAATGTATTAAAAAAATTTCTTTCAATTACATGGATCCTGTACCACTGACTATTCTGGTGAAAATTTTTCAACACCTGACTAATTAATCAATGAAAATTTTTCAACATCCAATAATCGGTGAATATCACCTTTTTTTTTGTCGATCAATATTTATCATATCTGAAATTTGTCACCGAAAATCAACGCTATATAATTTTTGGCCTGCCGTATTTTTATTGTTATTTATTATTAATAGTATTATTTATTTTTGGTAGCCAACCGTATTTATTATTATGAAAAAAATATTTGGTTTCCAAAAATATATTTTTTCATTGTCATAGTTTATTTATTATCGTTAATTTAATTCACTTGTAAAAATAATTTCACGTAAACATTAAACAAATAAATTCTTTGTTTTGCTTATAAAAACACTTTTGTAGTCGAAAATTAAACAGTAGAGTTTAATTGTTCATTTGGTTATAGAACTCTGAGGTTTTGTTTATTTGCTTTGGTATAAAGCAAAGGTTTGACGTTGGTTAACCAGTGTAGTGTAACATTGGATTGTATAGAAAATTTTCTGTTTCTTTGATTTCAAATAGCATTTATTCTATATTATGATATTTCCAATAATTAATCATTGTTATTCGTAATTAATTTTGTTACCCATAGTTCGTAAGAGTAATTAATTTCGTAATTACGTTTTTTAAAAGAGGTAAAGTGGTGATAATTACAAATTACGTATTTACGATAGTTAGGTAATTATCATCCCATGTATAATCAATATTGCACCGGCCGGGATGCTTAACAGTCTAGGATGAACAACATCCAACAAAGTTGGGTATTGAAATAAATTAATTCTTTATTATCAACAGTATACTGGTATATATCATAAAGATATAATAAAACGAATCTATTCTTTTCCTTAAAGAAATCATCATGTGAACTGGGTTGTCATCGCTTAAAATTATGTTAACAGGCCTATTCTCGAAGGAGGACGTAACTTTATAATAGAGAGTTTCGAACTTTTTTGGTTATCTTCCTGGGTGGGTTGAGTAGATAATTAAAGACTCTCAATCCTTGAAATTTTTTATGAGTTCATAAAAAAGAGTGTTCTTGAAAAAGGAAATCATTTATAGGCGCATTTTCCCTCTAGATTTCTCTAGGAATCTGGTTTCTTGTAGAGTAATAAAAAACCTTATTCTCCAAAACTTGTTTTACATTATTGTCGCTTTAATGGAATTTACAAGGCCAACAATTCTACTTGTAAAAAAGAAATTCATTCGCAATTAATGATTCCAAAAAAAAATTTATAGTAAAACTCATCTTTTTTATTATTTGTCCAAAGAAAAAAAAAATTTTCCTTTCTCATAGTGAAATTTATTTTATTTTTTACAAAAAGCTTTGCATTAAAAACGATCATTAAAATTTTAACATTTTTTTGCGTACATACAAAAAGTCATAGTCCAACTCTAAAACTCTTGATAGATTATAATGCTGGAATAGAAGAAACCAAACAAAAATTGCAAGATAAAGTGGTTAAAGTGGCAAAGTTTGATGAATAGGGTGAATTGGTTGAATTATTTCATTTAATAGGAGAAGAATCTCTTTTCTTTTACAAAATCTTTGTCAAGTTGGTTGGTTTGCTATCTGAATTTATTAGTGAAAAGGAAAAATTACTTAATTTAAAATTGAATGGGCCCTACTAAAGACAAAGTGATTGACTACAATCAATTGAATACAACATTGAGCAAGCCAAGGATGATAAACTTTCTGACGATGATCAAAAAGCAGATAAAAAGACTCTCAAAATTCTCATCGGATCCACTTGTTGCTGTAGCTATCTTAACCTAATTTGGCAAGATATATTGACATTATTTAATAGCTCTAGTTGGAGTCCAGTTGATATATATAACATATGCAAAAATGGCAGAAAGGAAAAATATCATCGAGAGAAGCATTGGAAACTTTCAAAAAAAAAAAAAAATACTATTGATGCAAGACTCAATAATCGAAATTGTGGATGTCATCACCAGTTTAGACAAGAACTACAGATATATTTAAAGGTGATTAAGAATTTAAAGAAGCATTGGAAAAGGAAGAAAGTGTCCAATGTTTTTTATCATACAGATTTTGTCAAAGATGGCATGGTCTACAAGAGTAAAAATAATAAAGTGCACTATTGGTATCACACAGTCAAAAACAAACAACATGGATTAGAGGATTTCACCTCATATAAGGAAATAGTGAAGACTGTATATGAGAAATTTGTTGGTGAAGCCATTAATTAATTAAACAATTATTTACTATTAATTTAATCAGTGTATTTTTACATTATGATGTTTGAAAAATGCTAATAATATATGAGAGACCATGTATATAAATTGATGATTAAATGCATTTTTATTTTTTACTTTATTTTTAAATATTAAATATTAATAATTTGATAGCTAATTAAATAGTTAATCAAATACAACATTCTGCTGGTTGATCATATATAATATTTTTACTAAAGATATAACTACCAATAAAAGCACCCAATACAACACTTATGATAAGAAATCCATTATAAGTCATAAATATTAACATTATGAAAAGTGACAAAGTTACTTGAATAGAATAAATTAATGATCTTAAGACTTGTTGAGATTTAGAAGCTCTAAATATATACCAGATAAGAAACAAATATTTTAATTATTATAATTAATATGGTCAATTGTTGTGGATGATTAATCGAATTTTTTTACCTTGTTGATATTCTAGAGCCCCTACTTCTAGATTCCTCTTCATTTGATACTAAATTATCATCTTCAGGTATTGAACGATATTCTTCTAGATATAATTTCTTGTCATAATTTTTTGATAAATATTTTGTGTATTCATAAATTACACCAATTAAAATAATAATTCCACATGATAAAATAAGAATTGGTATTGAGTTTATATGCCACCATGAAAAAACTACACAAAGATGTTCTATGTCCCAATTAAACAACATCTATAAAAATATTACAAGGCAATTAATTATATATTATGCATTAATTAATCTTGATTAATTGATTATAATACATACTCTCATGTAGCATCTTCTCTCTACATCAATTACTACATCGTTTGCAAATAAATGATCCATTATTATTATTATTTATTTATTATTAATTGTTGATAGAAAAATAAAGAAGATATTATTATTTATTATTAATTGTTGATAGAAAAATAAAGAAGGTATTATTATTTATTATTAATTGTTGATGGAAAAATAAAGGATATTATTTATTTATAATACTAATACCAATATACCAAAAAGTCATATGCGAGTAATCTAGTAACACCAATTTAATTAATTTAATTACTAATGGACGATCTAATAATTGTGGGGTTGACGTACAACTTTAGCAGTTTTTACTCTCTATAGTTAGTATCAGTAATTTTTTGTAACATGCATATGTAAACTCGAGAAGTAGAACACAGCGATCAATTGTTTAAAGTACTTGGCAATATAAATAAATGACGTATTAGTGCAGATCATCTATAAGCTTAAAATTTTTATATCGTTTTAAAGTTAACTGCTAGTTTTTTCTTAAACTATAAATTGGCAGAGTCTTAGCGTTTTGAATATTTTTACATATATTGATTATTTATTTCCTTTTTTTATTATTAATAAAAGTTTTTTTACAATAAAAAAGTTAACGATCATATTAACATCAAAAGAAACTCCTTATCATGTAATTCATAACGAAAATTATTATTGCATAATTCTCAAATTTAAAAAATCCATGAAAAAAATAATGAGAAATTTTTTTTTACATGAATTGACTTTTTTTTAAAGCTGAATAGAATGGTGTATTTTTTAAAAATTCAACATGTGAATTACATAATATTTCAAATTTTTTAATTTTCGAGTATAGATAATCCGCACTCTAGTACCATAGATGGCATGACCTTTATATGTGAATAGGATTCAAAAATAGGCGATAAAGACTTTATTTATAGGATTATTATTCAGCTGCACGTGATATTTAAGACTTGGAATATCATGTAATTCACATGTTGGACTCTAAAAAAACTACCACCATTCAATTCGGCTTTTAAAAAGGAAGTCAATTCATGTAAAAAGAAATCTCTAAAAAATTGGAATGCAATTATTTTGATCTACACAACTCATATTGAGTTCGTTTAACAAATTTGGAATTTAAGGCTCTGCCAATTTTTTTTGTTCAAGAAAAGCTACTGATAGGTTTTGAAGCTTGAATCATGAACAATGAAACTTATTGGTAAAAATTTTTGTAACAATAAACTTATTATTATAGATGATCTGCACCGTAATAATATTGATAATATATAATAATAAAAACTGATGATAAGGAGAAAATCACGTAAATACTTTTCTTCTATTTTTCGAAATGTCACCCTCTTCTGCTCAAAGAGTTCTTCTTAAATCTATAGCATCGGCCGACCCAGAAGGACGTTTTGAAATCGTCGATGATATTCAAACATTTTATAAAATAGCAATCCCTCAACAAGAAGAACAAAAACAAAATTTACATGTCAATAGCAACAACAACGTAGATTCAGATAAACCTGTGATTTTATGTCTTCATCAGATTTTTGGAAATTTATACACATGGAGACATCTCATGCAACCACTTGCTAATGCTACAGGTTGTCATGTAATAGCTTATGATAGAGTATGTTTTGGTTTTACCGAAAGGCCAATACAATGGGAAGAAGGCAAAAATCCTTATACACAAGAAGCTTCATGTGAATTTGTATTGAGGTTTTTATCATGTTTAGGATATGCAAATAAAAAGATTATATTTGTTGGATCATCTGCTGGTAGTGCAATTAGCTGCTATCTCTCAATAAAATATCCACATATTGCTTTTGCTTTAATTTTTCTTGGTCCTGCTATAAAACCTGTAGATCAAGGCAAAAAAATTTTCTTTACAAAAAAAAAATTGATTATAATTTATATATTTAATATTAATTTAAAATTTTTTTATGTTTTTTAGGTCCACCATCAATTATATGTAAGATTATAGGATCATTTCTTGGAAAATTGATTCTTAAATTTTTTCTACGCACATCTTTTCCAGCACAATCATTATATAATGATGTAAAGTCGATTCCTGATTGGGAAACTGTGGTCAAGCCTTGTTATAGAGTACCATTAACTTTACCAAATTTTTATGAATCAGTTGCATTCCTAATGAAATATTTTATTCCACTTGAAATTCTACCACATAAAAATGTATTACAAAAAATTCCAATTTTATTCATGATAGGAGATAATGACACATACACAAAATATGATGCACATATAAACGTATTCGAAGAAATCAAACTGGGCTCATCGTCTGATTCAATCTTGGAGTTTAAAGCACTGACACAATGTGGACATTTTCCTCAAGATGAAAAACCTCAAGAAGTCTTACAATCAATTATTGATTTCTTGGGAAAACTTGGAATTTAATATTTATCTATTATATTGTATTTATTTGTTATTATTTAAGTTAACCTCGCATAGCAACTATATACTAGAAATTTTATTTATTTGCAAAAACAAAATGTTTGCGTGTAACTTTTATTACTATTCACTTACTATACTGTCACGAAAATCTTTATTTTTAAAAATAAATAAATTAATAATGCACAATGTTTCATCTTTTGATTTTGCTCTCAAGAAACAAAACTGCTCTGTTATAAAAATTTAGAAATATATTAATATTAATATATCAGCAGAGTTTCCTTTTTTGAAAACAGAAAGTATATATGTAGATCCCTCAATTGAAAAAATTCAAGGTTGGTTATAATAATAATAATAATAATAATAAATTTATTAAAAGGAGGCGTTTAAAAAATTCTGATGTGTGGAATCATATGATATTAATATTCCGCCTGGAATAGGAATGTTCTAATGGCACAACTGTCTATTGTTACACATTACACTTAATTTTTCTTTTGAAATATTTAATATGGAAAACGATGAAATAATCATTTTAGATGATATTAATAATGTTAAGAATAACGAAAATTCAATTGAAACATCAAATACAAAGCTTGATAATAGATCTTCATTATTACAACAAAGATCCAGTTTGCCTACCTCTTCACCTTCAATAAAATCACCTTCTGCTAGATTAACAATAAATATTCATGGTGGTGATAATAATACCATTACAAATCTTAGCAATAATATTAATAACAATGAGTCAACTGTAATGTTACTATCACATGATAGTAGTGATGATGAATTGGAAAGTTCTTCTTCAACACAAAAAAGCATTCTTCTATCATCCCTAAAGGACAATGATAATAACAGTAATAATAAAAAACCAGATGCTTATAATTATACACTTAGTTGGGGAAATATTTTAAAAAATCTTTCCTACATACTTATTTGGTATTTTTTCTCTACTGTTTTATCATTCTATAACAAGAGTTTAATGGGGAAAGATAATTTCAATTTAAAATTACCATTATTTACAAGTGCTATACATACTGGAATGCATTCTATCATAACTCTTGTTTTGATGAATGATACTTTACCATTTATTTATGAAAGAAAAAAAGGAAAATCAATATCAATTCATAGTTATGTTACTAGAGTTGTAAGTTTTTTATTTTTTATTTGTTTGGAGGGGAGAGGAGAATTTTACAATTATTTTTAAAGCTTCCCTCCTTTATTATTATTAGATTCCATGTGCTGTGGCTGCTGCATTAGAAATATGTATGGCTAATGCATCCCTTGTATATATAACACTTAGTTTTTATACTATGGTAAGAAAAAAAAATTATAGATATTTATTATCAATTAGGAGAGGGTTTTTATCTCTAAATTTTCTCATTTAATTAAAACTTATATAATTTTCAACCTGTATTTTCTTCAAAGGTAAAATCATCTACACCAGTTTGGGTTTTGCTTTTTGCATTTTTGTTTCATTTAGAACAACCAAGAATTTTACTTGTATTGATAATAACAGTGATAAGTGTGGGTGTGATATTGACAGTGGCAGGGGAAACAAAATTTAATCTGATAGGGTTTTTATTAGTATTAGGTGCAGCAATTATTAGTGGATTGAGATGGACATTGACACAAATATTGTTGCAGAAAGAGGAAGGAATGAATGATCCAATCTCAACACTTTATTACATCTCACCTGTAATGTTTATCATGATGCTTATTCTTTCTTTAATGTTTGAAAATCCTTTATTCATCTTTAGTACTTCTATACATTTTAGAAGTTTTAAAACTAGCTTACAAACATTTGGTTTAATGTTAACAGGTGGCTTGTTAGCCTTTTGTATGACTGTAGCTGAATTTGCTTTAATCAAAAACACAAGTACTGTCACGCTATCTGTAGCTGGAATTAGTAAAGAAGTGCTTGTAATTGCTCTTTCTGTCATTATTTATGATGATGCAATAACTTCTATAAATTTGTTGGGGTAATTATATATATACATCTTTTTTTGTGAATTAAATAATTTTTTGGAGAAAATATTTCTAAATTAAATGTTTCTTTAATTATTTAGGCTTATAATTTCAATCTCTGGAATAACAGTATATAATTATTACAAAATACTTAAACCAACAAATACAAATCATTATCAATCATTACCATCAACATCTCAATAATAATTGTAATTATTGTTGCTATCAATTGGACATAAAAAAATAAGATCATTAAACTATTCCATATGTAAAAACTTTTTATATGTAGGAAATAGAAATTTGTATAGTAAAAAACATAATAAAAATTTTAACTTTACCAATGGTACGACTTTGTCATTAAAACTACAAAAACTTTGCAAGAGTGGATGCATTAACAGAGAACAATGAATTTATTTATTTAAAGCATGTATTTTTACAAGGCATTTATAAAATTTTATTTACATTTATGATGCTCAAGATTATTAGTATTATCTGAGATAGTTTGCTGGATACTGTCATTTCTTGAGGACCAAACTCAATACATTTGCATCGTTCATTGTTATTACTTATCTCTTCACCTTCATTATTTTTTGAAATTTCTTATCGTTGGGTTCTTCTATTCTTTGTGTCGACAAAGCTTTCCGCATATCGTGTAATCCAATTGCAACAAGGGGAATATTCACCCCTCAAGTGAGATTTTACTTGGTCATATATTTTCTAATTCAACAAATTCTTCACAGCCATGTTAAAAATAAAAATTTATCCATAACATACATATATAAATAATAAATAATAATGTACCTAATGACTTGATATTATTGTCATTGTTATTTGTCTGTCTGTATATAAATATAAATTTTTTTTTTTTTTGTTATGTTGAGCATGAGAAAATGAAATGCTCCGAGCAGAAACTACGCGATGGCTTTTGTTTGTAAGTGCTGATTTTTTGATATCTCTAGTGAAATCAAAACGTGGAGCGATGTCTTTTACATTATAATTATATAATGATGGATAATTTATCATGATAATAACATCAATAATTACAAGAAGTGTCAAAGCAACATAACTATTGAAGATCTTTCTCTCTCTCCCTCTCTCTCATGGAAAACTGCACATGGAAAACTGCTCTTGGACAATCTGGAAATACCAAAAAGATCCATTTGATTATTGGAAACTGATTTACTATTGAGATATTGAATATACTACAATTAAATTTTTCAAGGGGCTATCACGGCTCTAGGATTTATTAAACCTCTTACGTAAAATGTCATCTGTGGAGAAAATTGCAAAAGGAAAATTTTCTTAAATCTGGCGCTTACAATATCAGGGTTGGATATTATCTTGCATCTTTAAGTCCAAATCTGCTGCCCCGTATTCAGTCAATAATATTAAGTATAGGATCAAACAACATCGTCACAAACAATTACAACCTTCACTCAAGCAACTCCACTCCACCATATCATTTTAAGGAACTCTATAACACACAAAAAAAAAAGGAAACCAAGTAGAGACTCGACATTAAAATATTCACAACACTTTAGATGGAACCATTATTTTACATGGAAAAGAGGCTCGGATTAAAATTCACAAAAATATCAAGGATTTATTTCCAACTCTTATCTTATACTCGTTAGCATATTATTTATTAATTAATCCAACAATAATTATCATGGGTATTGTAACGGACATATACAATTTATGGAGACAAATACATTCATTCACATTCAAGGAAAAAATTAATAACAACAAAAAGGTAAGCAGGGTTTTATTTATTTTGATTCAACCAAGAGAAAAATACATGTTATATATAACTTGCAAAAAAGAGATCAATTTGTCATGAAATTGTATGTGATGCAAAAAATAAAGTAATTGAATATAGTAAACGAAAATAATAGTAATAACGTTAATTGGATACAGCAATGTGGTGTATTATAATTTAATCTTGGAATTGTTAATTTTTTTATTAAATAAATTTAGAAATATATAATCTGTTGATTGGTTTTAACTAGAATGACACTCATTCCAAGCATCTTTAATAATAATACTTACTCATCTAATTCTGCTAGTTCTTTTTCTTAGATTTTTTATTTATTTCGGTTCTTTGGATATGACTTTTTTTTTTAAAAAAAATAAAAGTAAATTTTATCAATATACTAAAATCGACGATCTTCGAAAGCCAATAACTTCCAAACTAGGAAGTTTAGAGAAAAAGTAAACCGGTAGAATTGAAGTTAAAGACATAAGATTCATTTCTATCGGTTTAATTTTTTTTTTTTTATAAAATTTTGTGAAGTTATTGAGATTCAAAGTTGAAGCATTTTATATGTAAATTTTTAAAATTTCGGATTCTCTTTATTGGCCAATTGATGATGTAAAATCACGTGACAATATTGTTGGAACGCGATTTTAAAATTTCATTGACTTATACTGTTACATTTTTAAATATAGTTAATTGGATAAATAATACTTGTTATTTTTGTCATCTTTGTTATCTTTTCAATGATTTCTTTTTTTTGGAAAGTGAATTTGACAGATGTCGTCTTTAAATGACATGCACCATACTAAGTATAACACTTCGTTTCAACGGAGTGGCTGGACATATAAGAAAATTTCATTTAAAATCCGTTGAAACGAAATTACTAATCGCGTTTCAACGGATTTTTATAATAATAATAATGTGTAATAGTAACAAAGATTTTTAAAATCCATTGAACAAGGGTTATACTGTAAATTAATTATTTATACATAGCATTGTACGAAGAAGCCCTATTATTTTTATTTTTTTGGGGGGGGGACAAGACGAGTGAGCCAGGAATTTACACCAGGAATGTTGTGGTTGGTTCTAAAGATGGAGAAGTGTTATTTATTAACAATCAGAGGTACTTCTTTTTTTATAAATATTTCATTGAAATCAAAACGTGGAGCAAGATTTATCATGTCTTCTAGGCATTTATAAAGATAATAATGATTTGTTAAACAATTATAAGAAAGTGTCAAGGACAAAGAAAAGCAACAACTGTTGAAGATGGGAAATGGCACCTAGACGATTTAGGAGAAAATAAATATGCAACATTTGATTATTGGGAGTTTACATTTATAAATGTTGAAGTATGCTACTTTATTTAAAAACACTACAGTCATTCTCACCTTCTTTGTGTACATAAGGCCACATCTGAAGTAGGGTTTGGCACCGTGCAAAAATTCTTTAACCGGTTAATTAACCGTTAAAATTAAGAGTTAACCGGTTAACCGGTTAATTTAGTCACGTGGAATTTTTTTAACTGGTAAATTCGATCGTTCATTACTTACAAAATAATCACGCGCCTGTTGAATTTTATTATTACACACTTAATAGATGCTAAATGATTACAGTCAAACTACACCACAGCGGATTCATGGTTCCAGACAAAAAAAATCCGTTATTATTATTATTATTATTATTATTATTATTATTATGACAAGCGGCAAAATTGGTGATGATCTGGCAAAAATTTTTTAATAATACAAAGCTCTCTCTCTCTCTATACCGAACCCTCTGTCCATTATATGCATTTTTCTGCTTTTGTTCATTATAGGGAGAAATTAATTATAAAAAATTGAATCGGAGACGGACGACAAAAGGGAAGTTCATTATAGAGAAATTTACTTAGTGTTTGTTATAGAGAGGTTTGGTATAGTGCAATAAATTAATAAACTAAATACAGGAATAAATAAATGAATAATACATACGGAAATGAAAATTATTTGTTGAAATATTTGGTTGTATTATCTAATAATTTCACTTCTTCAATGGTTTAAATGCTTTAAATTCTTTACAATCTATTTCTAAATCACAGTTATCTCAAAGGAAATTACGGCATCTTTCGTTGAAACTTTAGACATAGTGTTACTCTCAACAACTATTATATTATTAACATCATTTTGAAATCTCTTCGACTATATTTCTTGAATTTTCAATTTCATTATTAGATATTTCATTTTCCAAAGGGAGAATTGCAGTTTTCCTCTATCAATTTTGGTAATTTGGAACCCAGGCTGAAACCTCCCAAGTTGCTGAATTTTCAGACCAGTTGCATACGCCAACTTTATTCTAGAGAAGCATAACACACAAATACTGATCCTCATCAGTGATCAACTGGTCTGGGAGGAAGTTAAGAGAAGTTTTGTCCAAAGCCTTCCCAACATGTATGTGGCCTTGCTTGTGGAAAAAAATTACATGGTTATGAGGCGTGTGAAAGCACCTTAATGCATGTTGGTGATAGTAAATTTTAATTAAATCTGGCACTTGCAATCAACATCAGATTTATTATTCATAGTTTTTTAAGGAACTTTAGAATGGTGAAGGAAAAATTTTTTTTTTGAACCTCCATATTTATTTATTTATTCTTGTGAACCCCAGGGATCTGGGTAGACATGCATTATTAAAATTTTCATTTATCCATGGCCTTGTGTTATTACTACTTGGGTGATGCAATTGTTGTTATGTTAATGATAGTATTAAACATGGTGATGAATGTGCGTACAAAGGAATTCACACATTAAATAGCAATATCATGTTTATTTATTTATTTTTTATTTTAACCAAATACATAATTATAAATTAGATTGAAAAAATACAAGTAGAAAATTGCAAGAGTATGGAAATCCAAGATTGGACCAATCACACCATTACATGTTCAAGGTTAATCAAGCAATTATTTGAATACATTGATACACTTTTGTAATTTTATTGAAGGGGATAGGTTTGTATGCAATTTAAATTCTTTTGTGCTAATTTAGAGTCATATCTTTCTTTGCACTTGTAGGTATCATTTTACAAATCAAGTTATTTACCTTAATGTAATAATCATTATATCAAATTAATTTGTAACTTGGGTTTTCAAAAATTGATATAATTTTTCTACAATAATAGTATTTTCTATGTTTATGATCAACAATGTGTGGAAAAATTCATTGGTAAAGGCAATCAATTTTTTATTAACTTGTTATTGATGAAGTAAAATATTACAAATATTCATTTATTGTTTGCTTTTTAAGTTGTCTTTTCCATTTTGATTATTGATGATGATAATCTAGGCCATAATTATTTTTCATTGGAGCCAATTGACCAAATTTTTCAATTTCTCTTCGCAAGTTGCATCACAATCGTATCTTTTAAATCATTACCTAAAACCATTCCATTGGTTCACCTAAGTTTAATTCCATTCATATAATTATTATACTGATGAAAAGGATGCCATGTAAGTCTGATTTACAATCATGAGGTGCAACAAGACTTAATGGTGTTTTACGATATTGGGACAGAACCATCCTTCAGATTTCATTAACAGAAATTGGGTATCTTATTAGTCACTCTATGAAACTTGACTCATTTTTATGTGCCAAAAATAATGTTTGTTTTTTATTTCGGTTCCTAATCAGCCTTTTAGGGGTTCGGTTTGTCCTTTATCTAATTTTTGAATTATAAACTATCAAGCAATGCTATTAGTAATTCCAAATAAATAAAATTTCATATTGCACAATATTTTTTTAATAACATTTGAGCTAAAGCTGGAGATCCTGTTTCCATATAAATTAAATATAAATTATAGGCAGCTTCTTTTCTAATATCTGTAGGATCATTTTCTTCGAAATTTTCAACTTCTTCATTTTCGTCAGTTTCTAATTGTTTTTTCTTGCCCTATATATATATATATATATATATATCAAATATAATCAGTGAGTTTCATAGTAATCAATATTACATGTAAACACAAACGTATAAAAATATTCAAACTTTATCAATTTTTTGTTTCAAAATTTGATTTACTGATGGTAATTTAAGTGCTTTTTCATAATGTGGTATAGCTAAATGCGTTAATCCTTTAAGTCAAAATAATTTACAATAGTCAATTAATTATTTGATTGTTTATTTATTATTATTAAGATAAAAAAACCATTACCTAATTGATGAAATGCATGCCCTAAATTATATTCAGCTTCTTGATTTTTGCCTTTTAATTCATAATATTCATATAAAAAATTGAATCCCTATTCAAGTTTATGGAATAAAAAAAAATGAATAGAGCTTTTAACTAAAAAAAAATTCATTGATTCAAGTAACTAGTTTTTTACTTGTAAAATTTGTAAATGTCGATTACTTGTTTTTCTTTGCATAGCACGATGTAAATATGCAAGACCCATAGAAAAACACACAAGAGGATCTTTTGGTTTGACAAGTGCTGCTCGAGCATAATACCCTTATAATAAAATTTTAATTTAATATATTAATAAATTCTATTACGTTCTATATCTTCTATTTATTTTTATTATACTTACCAAGAGCACCATTATAACTTCTTGAACATCCCAAAATATGTCCATAAAGTGTCAACAAACCAGCATCAGGTTTCGTTGGAGAACTGTCAGAAATGCCTGAATCCATTGCTTTTATTTGTCTTAAAAAATATTTTTGTGAATTTGCCGCTGAAAAACATGATAATGCACCCGATCCACTATTATATGTATGTATTTTAAAATAAATGTTATTATTGATATTTTATTACTATCTAATATATCATATTTAATTCAAAAATTTTTTACCTTGCCAAACATGCGCTATATAAATTATATATGTTGCTATTGAATGGCTTAAAGTTACATAACCATCTTGCACTTTCACAAACCACTATATAATTTGATGTATAAAGTCCCCAAGCTAATAATAATGCATATTCATAAATTTCCTGTTAATTAGTTATATCTGTTCTAAAAATTGAAATTTGCAATTTAAAAAAAGAAATTTTGTTTATTGATTCTTTCTCTACCTAGTGACAACACCTTGAATGTAGTCTTGTGTCGTTCATTATGGTAAAAAATATTTGCCTTTGATACTAACATAACAACATCATATGCTTCTGACTCATGCCCATTTTTTGTTGCTGTAATTATAAACTAAAATGATCATTAATACATGTAAAATTCTTTTCATCTAATTTTTTTACATTATAAAATTAATTAATTTACCTGAATAAAAAATTCAAACCATTTTTCAAACGTTATTCCTTGAAATTCTGTCATTTTCTTGTGTATTTCAGCTTCAAGTTCACCTAACTGTCCATCTTTTTTAAAAAATATAAATTAATGTATGCTGCTCATTCACTCTTTATACTAACATATATATATGCATATATATAAGTGTAATAAATCAAACCTATATTCCACTGCAGCCTCTTCGCCATTGTGGTTGCCTGTTCTTCTATATCTGCATCATATCCTTCTTTTAATTCTTTAATTTCTTCATAATAAAGTTTTTCCCTCCAACTTTTACATCGATCATATCCTCTAAACAGAACCATCTAGTCAAATATGTATCCATTATAAGAATATTCCTAAAAGGTGATGCTAATTTTTTTTTTGTAATTTATTTACGAAAAAATTATTTAACCTTGTTTCTTGGAGGATAAAATGCTGTTATTTTGCCAATCTTCAATTAAACCTCTTGCTGTTTCAAGGTATTCTTTAGACGCTTCTTTATCGCCATTAACTGAACATGGATACAATAAATCTAATCTATGAAAAAGAATTTGTGTTTCTTTTTTCCTTTTCTAACTCTTGTTTTTTCCTTTCTTCTTCTAATCCTGCAAGGTCATTGGCTTTTGTCCCTCTCGATATAGAGTGTATAAGTTCCCCAGAATTTTGATTCATGGTTGTTGATGAGTACTGTTGATTTTCTTGTAAAGTCATGCTATTTGAAGAAGACGATAATGATATTACAACGGGATCCCTTACTGGCGTGGATTCAGCTACTTGTCATTGAAATTTACGGGCTTCAAGGACTAGTAATTACCAAGTAGATGTTTTTCTTTTTAAATGCCTTTATATAATTAAGCAATTAATTAATTTAATGATTAAATTTACCAATTCTAATGCCTTTTCATTTTCTCCTAAAAATTCATAAGTCTCTGCAAGTGACATTTAGCATCTAAATTATCTGGTGAATCTTCAACAACTATAATAATATATGTTGAAAGAAATATATTAACACTTTAAAAAAAACCCCTATAATTTAATATTTATTTGATTTTTTACCAGCAGTAAAATACTCTGCAGCATTTTCAAAATTCCCTAATTCTCTGTGACATAGTCCCACTCTCATCCACGCAGTTGGATTATTTGTCTATTATTATTATTTTTAAAAAAAAGTAACAACTTATAAATAAAAATGTATGGATAAATATGTCATGGCATTGATGAACAATCAATTACCTCGGAATTAAGCAATATAGCTTCGTATGTTGTCAATGCATCTTCAAATAACACTTTTCAGCATAAGTTTTAGCCACCTCATAATATAAATCAATGTATTGTTTAACATCATATAACTTGAGATAATTTAAATGCAACTAATCAACAAAAAATTGTAGATTAATTAATAATTATAGAATATAAATAAATGAGAAAAACAAGTATCATCATCATCATCAATACATACTTTTCCTTCTTCCAATCCATCCATACAGATTCTACTTATGCCTAATTTTATTCTTAATTCCAATGGTAATGGTGCATTTGAACCACCACTACTAAAAACTCCTTGATGTCTAGTGCCAGCTAAAATAAAAGAATTATCTTTCCGATTAGCATTTTCGTCTTCATCATACTCTCAATCATCACTGACATTGTTCCACCATGTCTCATCCTCTCTTCCTTGAAGCCATCTGACTCCACATTTAATGAACTCTATTGCACCACCAAAATCATTTATGAGCATATAAAGTTCTGCCATAATATTAATTTCTGAATATCCAAAACTGCCTTCTGCTTCAGTATCTTTGTAAAAAGGACGATTTCGATAATATGAATATGCATCAAGATAAAGCTCAATGGCTTTAGGAACTTCGCTTGTTTGTACATGTATTTTTGATATTTCTCTTAATATATTCATATCGTGTGGCACTTTTTCTAATAATCCAGTAAAACCATCAATTGCCTAAATTTAAATAGTAATATTATCAATAGTGTCATCATTAATACTTATGCAGAGAGAAAAAAAAACAACTGAAAACACTGATTGAAAATCAATTCTATGCCTTTTTGTATTCTCCAATTTCAGCATAGAGCATAGACCTATCCCAAATAGCATCCACATCATTAGGATCACATCTTATGGCTTTAGAGAAACAATAAATAGCTTGATGTGCAGCACTGTGATCTCTTGTATAATAAACACACACGTGTATATAGAATGTTAAAACAAAAGATAAAATATTTGTTTTAAAATAATAATAATAACAAAAAAGAAAAAAAACTAACTTGCTTAGTGAACCTAATCTTTTCCATAATGCACCATCATGAGGTGTTAAATGGGCAGCAACCAAATACAATTGTAAGGCCTTTTCCAGACATCCAATTTCATCTTGTATTGTTCCAAGCGTAAACCAAGCAGAATGAATGTTCGGATCAATTTTTATTACCTCTTGAAGCACCTCAATAGCTTTTGGATAGTCTCTATTGACATAATGCAGGTTAGCTTCTCCTACTTTAGCACGTAAAGTTGGTGGGAGTGCATGATTTCAAGGACCTCACTATTTAATTAATTAGTTAATTATTGTTTTCTTAAAATAACAATTAATATTGATGATTAAATTCATGGATCATAAATTCACCTTCCCCTTTTTAATTTTACCAATCCCACTGGTAAGTCTTAAATCTTGATTAAATTCACTCCATTCTTGTTCCAAATTTTGCCATAAATGTGGAGCTACAATTCCAGTAGTAAGGTCACTTCCAATTGCTTGCGCTTGAGATAATAATCGACTATAATTATATATTATTATACGATAGACATAAACCACTATCATTATACCATTTAATTAATTAATTAATTTACCCAAAATTTTCATCGGCAAGTTGATTTGTCTCATCATCTGATAAAATCATCATTATCGTTGCCAAAAGTATCATCATGCATAAATATTGTATCCTCTTCTTCGTCCTCATCAGACAAAGTTGCAGCAGTAAATTCAGGGGTTCTTTTATGGAAGCTTCAGCTTACAAATGAACTAAATCAGCATCATCAATAGTACTATTAAGTAGATCTAGAAAAGTAGTTGGAATTATTCTTGTATTTGAGCCATTTGGATTTTCATTTTTCTCGTATGAATTATTATTTTCTTCCATTGCCTTTAAATTGTATATCATAACATAATATTATTTATTGCCACGTGGCCAGACATTTTAAAAAATCGCAATAAAATTTATACTATTTATTTATTATATTATTAATAACAATAATTTGTTAAATTTTTGAACAATCTCAAAATCTAAATCTTTCATTTAATATTAGCAGCGTCAGTTAAGCCATCATAAAAGGCCTTAACCCTTGGATGAACCATCACCTTGGATTGATGGAAATTTGACACTTGTAAGGAATTTGCTGAAGTTGCACGTGAAAGCGCTACATATGTTTGACCTATTTAAAAAAGTAATTAAAACAAATATAATAATTATTATTTTTTTTAAATTTATTAACCAACCTTTTTCAAATACACGGCCAAGATCAACCTTAACACGGTCTAAAGTCTGTCCTTGACTTTTATGAATACTTATAGCCCAAGCAAGCAACAATGGTATCTAATCATATATATATTAGCGTGCATATGAAAGTTTTATATTAACATTATAATAATAATTAACCTGTTTTCGACTCGCTAAAACTGCATCACCGCTACCTTCAATTTTCCATTCGGAAAAATCAATAACTTGTTGAATACCATCAGTAAATCGTACAATTGGAAGCATGTCTTTTGTGTTTAATTTTAAATTCTCTTCTTCACCATTAAGATAAGCATCACCTGTTAAAGTATTAATAAATCCAACGACTATACCTCTTTTTCCATTTACCAAGTCTTTTGAAAAGTTTTTTATAAGCATCACCTGAGCATTACGTTTTAAAAACAATTGTTTTGGTGCAAGGCAATTTCTTATCAAAGTCTTTAGTTGGCCTCCAACTGGTTCCCAATCTTCGGCTTCCCAAACGTAAGATTTAAAAGGAATTTCTTTCAGTTTCGCTTCATTAGAAGCATTGACATTATCATTACGCGGATAACTATAGGTATAAAATATGTGCATTGGGATTTAAAAAGATGATGATAATGCGATTGCCAACGAATCAGGATGTTTTTGCTTACAGTTCAGTTGGTATGATTCCATCTTCAGGATAATTTGGTACCTGTTTTAAGCGATTCAACAGATCGAGTGATTTTACAGATAAAATTCCACAACGCATCTCATTTAACATTTCAACCAATTCTGTTTGAACAAAAAAATTAATAATAAATAATAATAATATATGACTTGTTTACAACGAACAAAGATTTTCTCACCAGGTTCTTTTTGTCGAAAAACGCGTTTTAGTTGAATTGTGTGTTTTATACATTTATTCCAAGTTTTAGCATCAAAGCAAAACTTAGCAGCATTGTTATGACTGATTGGTGGTAATTGATAAAAGTCACCAGTAACAACGAGCTATTTATGATATGTAGAGAAGAAAAATTTTTTTATGGACATTGTTTCAAAAAATTGAATAAGTGATTAAAGGATGAATGGATATCAATTAGTTACCTGAATTCCACCAAAAGGAAAGGGATTACCTCTAACACTACGTGCAAGAGCTTCCAATTTGTCGAATAAATCACCGTCAAGCATAGACACTAATTTGAAGAGCGTGAAAATGTTGAGCTTTATTTTAAATAAATTAATAAACAAATTAATTTTATTTTACCTTCGTCAACAACAAGAACTTTTATTCTTCTCCATCTATCAACTAAACTTTTAAACTTGATGATTTTTCTGTGCAATTCCGTTTCGGTTGCTTGTCCGGTACCAATACCAAAAAAGGAATGAATTGTCATACCACTAATGTTTAAGGCTGCAATCCCCGTTGTAGCAGTGACTGCTACACAATCAGCTCCATGAGTGTCTTTAAGAGTATCGATTATAACACGAAGTAAAACACTTTTTCCGGTTCCTTTTATTTAAAAATAATATTAATATCATTAACTATTAATGCTATTAATGTAATATGAATTATTAAATATCCAAGTAAAATCAATGAAGTTTTTTTTGCTTTTTTACCTGCAGAACCAGTATAAAAAATACTATTATGACTGTTAACAGCTAAGTTGAGGATTTGATTCTGTTCATCAGATAACTGAACGTCGCCAGAATGTGCTATTCTACTCAAGTTTAGTTTTAAAGGCGCTTGAATGTTTTTATTTGTTTCATTTAAAGGAACAGCAGGATATGGAGCAGCGATAGGTTTTTTTGATTTTTGAATTTCTTTTGGCATTTTTAATTTTTGATATATATATAAAGAAAATTATTAATACGATTAATTTAAGTTTACAAAAAAAAAAAAACAAAAGGAACGCGTTAATTCATGTCAATTCTTAAAATAGATAAATGATTTTGAACGTGATTATTTTTAGTATTAGTGGTGATAATCATGGATATTCGAATATTCATGATCAGGGCTGGAAATAGTAATAGGTCTGAAGAAAAACGGAAGTTTCTCCTGAATGCTAAAAATTTTCTGGAAGAAAATTTTTTGGGTGCTAAAATTTCTTTATTTTACATGTATTCTTCTGTTTTTACTTTGAAAAAATTTACTAAGAGCATCACTAAAATCATAACCAAATAAATCAGTACCTTCTAAACCAACCATCATTAATATGTGCAATG